GAATGCGAAGACATGAACAAAATAGCGATTGACCTGCGTAACGAAAGGATGAGAGCAGAAGAAGAAAGAAGAATAAACCCGGTGCAGGACGCAGCTGAAGCTGACAGGATCAGAAAGGAAAAGGAAGAGAAAGCAAAGGAGGATGAAAGATTGAAGCAGAAAGAAGAACGCAAAGCTGCAGGGAAAGCAGAAAAGAAAAAGGAAAAGGAAGAGAAGAAAAAGGCAAAGAAAGCTGAAAAGAAGGAAGAAAAGAGAGAACATGAAAAGCGTGAGTAGATGAGGATCAAGCGTCCTCAAGATCCGAAGCCATGAGAGAGATGGCTATGAAGTTGATTCGAAGTAAGAGAGGAAATGATGTTGATGAAAAGTTCAGTTGATTTGAATCGACTATGCCGTAGAGCGATTTAAGAGGTAGGTAGGCCTCGCCGAATGCAATGAAACATTTGCACGTTTCACCAAGCAAAAGATGCCGAAGAGCATAAAACGTAGTTACTTGGAGAGTGCTACAATGTGTTGAGATGACACTGAATTAATCTTTTGGCAAAGCGGTAGAGGACTTCCCGCTGCATGTGAAAAAGTGAAGCGCACATCTATGACAAGATCGTTCGAGCGGTTGATTATGATTATCCGTTTTGGGTTAATGGCTTTGCAAGGTATTAGCGACGCAAAGAAGTCAAGTTTCAAGCGACTTTGGAGTCGATTGATGGCCGGTGATAGAAACTTGAAACTTCTATTGCTTAACGCCGTTGATGTGACTTTGTGAGTCAAGTTGCGTCAGACTGTTCAAGTCGTCACAAGCCGTCCGAGACGGGTATGATGATCGATCCTTGAATGATGAAGTCTGGATGATATGACCTTGGAACTTTGAGCATTTGATGTACTATGAGAAGTGAAGAAAGCCCATGTACAGTTTGAGTTCGACGTTGGTGGATGAAGAGCACCACGCAAGTCGAAGAGGGTGTAACAAACATTTCGACTTCGATTATGTTTCACTCCCTTGTGTTAGTAAGGCTCAAACCGCGCCCAAGACAGACTGCAACTGCAGAGCAAAAGTGTGCCGCCTGCGGTTAGGTTGGAGTGGGGTTAGTTAGAGTAGAGTGGACCTTAAGATTTGGTCTAAAACTTTCACAAATGCAATGATGGAGAAACAAAACGGATTGCAGCCAAAATGAAACATGCTCCTTGGGTCTCCCAATGGGTT